ATTATTTCGTGTTTGTGTATGTGCAATTATTTATATAGGCTTTTAGGTAGCTGCAGCTGGCCAGCCGAGCACCAACAAATTGTGAGTAATTTTATATTATTKTCTCTATTTATTCATTAATTATTTTACTGAGCCAAAGGAGCTATAATATTTCATTTATATCATTATTATATTATATATCCGTAGTGCCARAAAGGCCGTWGATTTGTATATTATTCTGTTGGGCCAGAAGGGCCATAGGTTATTATATCTTTTTATACCTTTTCAGTTGCTGTGATTTTTATATTATATTGTGGATTTTAAATTATTTGTATATTACAGCAACTTAGTTACCAAAAACCTGTGTTACCCTTTATTTTAGTTTTAAGTCTACACACCACACATACCTACACAACTACACACAMCACCACACACTAGCACTCTTTAGTTTTGATCGGCGATCCCGTCCACTTCTATTGAGTCGCTATACAGACATATACACACATACACAGGTCGGTCGGTGTGTGAGAGTAGCGCGCGAAGTATTTGGTGACCGGGCGTCACGGCCTATTAATTGTGTCGTTCCCGGCCCGTACATTTTGGTGACCTCGACGTGATCTATTAATACTATTACGGTATCGTGATTATTTATGAGTTATTATTATTATTATGTTTGGTATCACAATGTCATGATATACGTGGTGCATTACATTATACATACAATTCGATCCAATTATTTTTAAAGTTGAGTTTATTGTATTGTTTTGTGCCTACGTTATATTGTACCTTGCGTGCATTTATAATTTTATAATAAACAAGATTCGGAATTGAACTGGTATTATCTCCTTTTATAAACTACTACAATAAAGGTAGCAATGGCTTTAGACGCAGAAGCACTGAAGGTGCTATCTGATCTCAAACGTAAGCGGGGTGTTGTGAAGGCCGCACTCACGCGAACGCTAAAATTTATCGGAAATTTTGATGCAAGGGTTGAGGCGCTATCCCTACTAGAGTTTAGGCAAGAAGAGTTGCCCCAAATTAATAAGCAGTTTGATGACGTGCAAGTTGAGATAGAATTGCTCAACACTGATGAGCTTTTAGAAGAGGAAAAGGAAAGAGACGAATTTGAAAAAAATTATTTCGCAGCACGTTCACAAATTCAAGAAATTATAAATAAGAACAAACGTCGCAATGCATCGGGTGACGATGCTTCACTTGATTCATCAGCGCAGTACCCACGAGCACATCTAGCCCCGATCGATTTACCGAAGTTCAACGGAAATATACAAGAATGGGAAGCTTTCTTCGACAGCTTCAAGGTGATGGTGCACAACCAGGACAGTTATTCTCAGGCTCATAAATTTCACTACCTTCGCTCAACGTTAAGTGGACAAGCACTGGACTTGATAAAGCCTCTACCAATGACGGACGCGAATTATGGACTAGCAATACAAAAACTTCAACAGCGGTACGATAACAAAAGTTTAGTAATTCAAACACATATTCGGAAGATTCTGAATAGTCCTCGAATACAGTCTGCCTCAGCTCAAGAATTATCAAGGCTACAATCACATATCACTGCACACTTGGCAGCACTAGAGGCATTGAGAATGCCTATTGAACATTGGGACGCATGGCTGGTAACCATTTTAGTGGAAAGAATGGACGGAGCATCCAGTCATGAATGGCAGCTCCGACAAAGGACTACAGAGTTACCCAAATATAAGGACGTGATGGCATTTTTGGCAAGTCGCAGTATCGCCTTTGAAAGCTCGGAAGCACTATCAATTAGGGTAAACGAAATCAACCACTCATCAAAAAAGGCAAGCCATGGGGGCACTAGCAAAAGAATAACTTTAGCGGCGTCATCAGAATCAAATCTTGATAAGTGTAACCTGTGCGAAGGTTCACATAGACTATATGCCTGTTCGAAGTTTAAGGAACTATCAGTGTCAGATCGCTTTAATCATGTGCGTGGGAGACGTTTATGTTTTAATTGTCTGGCGCCATCTCACATGTCGGATGCGTGTCGCTCTAAATATTCTTGTCAAAAATGTAGAAGACCTCATAATACGTTACTACACTTTGAAGGTAATGCTCGGGACGTTTCGGCTGCTGCTACCGTTTCTCATGATAACGAAGCCAAAGGTGATGCTGAAGAAGTTGCTAACGCAGATCAAGTGTCACTATTAATAAATCACAATAAAAGTCATGTATTTCTATCGACCGCGGTTGTGTTAGCAACTGACAAATTTGGCAATGCCCGCCAATGTCGAACTATATTGGACAGTGGGTCCCAAGTGAATTTCATATCCAAGGGTCTGTACAACAAGCTGCAATTGCCGACAAGGCATTCAATTCTACCAATAAATGGTATTGGAGCAAGTCATGTACAATCAAGATCGTGTGTGGAAGTACAATTGAAGTCAAGAGTGTCAAATTTCAACATAAATATATCTTGCTACATATTACCTGTCATCGTGAACTCATTGCCCGCAGTAACCTCCCCAGTGGATGGTTGGAATATACCAGAAGATCTAGCCAACGGCTTGGCGGACCCGACGTTCTTCGAGGCCGGGTCAATAGACTTACTCATTGGAGGAGGCTCGTTTTTCGATCTTTTGGACCCAGAACGAGTTCATTTAGAAGTGGATACATTGTGCCTGCAAGGTAGCAAATTCGGATGGATAGTGACGGGTGAAATTGGTGTCATTTCACTCCCGAGTATCGCATCGATGGGACAGTTGTTAGAAGAGGACTGGAGAGCGTTGAAGGACAAAGAAGATAATTTATACGGACGGCATTCAAAGATGAATCTAAAACTATTGGAAGAGAAGCAGACCGTTGAGCATTTCAAGAAGAATACAAGGAGGGGAATGGACGGTCGCTTCATCGTAAGATTACCACTGAAACCCTTAGTAGAAGAGCTCGGTGACACGTTGAAACTCGCAACCACTCGCTTCATAAGTGTAGAAAGGAGACTAATGCGGGATGAGAAGCTTCAGAAGGAATACGCTCGATTCATGGAGGAGTACCTTGACCTTGGGCACATGGAAGAGGTAATTGATGAAGACCAAATACCTAAGCGATCGTCCTACCTACCTCACCATGCCGTGATAAAGGAATCAAGTCTAACCACCAAGGTCCGCGTTGTATTCGATGCTTCTGCAAAGAGTTCGACTGGTGTCACGCTCAATGATGTGTTGATGTGTGGACCAAATGTCCAAGAGGATGTCTTCTCTATATTAGCCAGATTCAGGAAGCATCAATACGTGTTGACATCAGACATCGAAAAAATGTTTAGACAGGTAGCAGTTGCAAAAACGGATTGGGATCTCCAGCGCATCGTGCGGAGAGCCAAACCCAGTGATCCTTTGCGCACATTTCGACTCACAACTGTGACTTATGGGACTACATCGGCCTCATTTCTTGCAACTCAGTGCCTAGTAACCTTGGCAGAAAATGTAAAGGGGCTTTACCCTAATGCAGCTCGAATAATTAGAAGAGATTTTTACATGGATGACCTCATGTCAGGGGCCGATACAGAAGAGGAATGTTTGAAGCTACAACAAGAAATAAGTGATATTCTGAACTCGGCCAAACTCAAATTGCGAAAATGGTGTTCAAATTCTGTAAGGGTGTTAGAGAATATAGACAAGGTTGAGGACGATCCACTTTTTACTTTAGAAATTAAGGATGGAAATACGGTGAAATCTCTGGGGTTAGGTTGGAAACCGTTAGCAGATCAGTTTCACTTCAACATCTCCATAGACCCGTCATTAAACAAGTGCACAAAGAGGACATTGCTATCGGATTTGAATCGTGTGTTTGACCCACTTGGATTCTTATGCCCTGTTTTACTAAGAGGAAAAATGTTTTTACAGCAAATATGGTCGATGAAATTAGATTGGGATACGCAACTTTCTTCTGACATTCAAGGAAGGTGGAAATCATTCATTCGTGAGTTGCAGGATCTCAAATGTTTATCTATTCCAAGGAAGGTGAAGCCATTGGCAAATCATCCTCCCGAAATACATGGATTTTGCGATGCCTCCCAGGAGGCATATGGGGCTTGCATCTATATCAAGGAAGGTGGAATTCTCAGCTTCTTTGTGCAAGGACAAGAGTGGCACCTCTGAAAGAATTGACCATACCCCGACTAGAGTTAAGTGGAGCATTGCTGCTAGTCGAATTAGCAAACAAGGTCGCCGAGTCATGGTCTGTGGAGCTATGTACATTCCAACTGTGGACGGACTCATCGATAGTATTGGGGTGGCTGAATAGCCAAACCACACGGTTAAAAACGTTTGTATCCAACCGAATCAATCAAATTCTAGAGCTTACCAACCAAAAACAATGGCACCACATTAGGAGCGAGGATAATCCAGCCGATGTGGCATCAAGAGGATTAAGGCCGACAGAAATATTATCTTGTGCTAAGTGGTGGAATGGACCCAGTTGGCTGGTAACGGAGGAACATAATTGGAAATCCGAACCTGAACCAATTGTTAAAGAAGAAGACCTGCCTGAGATAAGACCAGTTCGACTTGCATTAATAACGACCAACATAACCAGCGATTTGCTACCTTTATACTCAGATTGGATTAAGCTTGTCCGCGCAATCGCTTGGTTAGGAAAATGCATAGAGTTTAAGCGATCCAAGAAGACAGGAAGCAGTTTACCACGGTACCTTACAGTATCAAATATCCGCTTAGCAGAACGTAGACTAATAAAGGGAGCGCAAGCCGACGAGTTTGGAATAGACCCCATGAACCTTCTAGCAGGGAAGTCAATTCAAAAAAGAAGTGTTCTGAGAACCTTGTGTCCGTTTATTAGTGAAGATGGATTAATTTTGGTTGGAGGGCGACTTGGGAACTCCGATATTGCTGAGAGCCAAAAGCACCCAATAGTATTACCTTCAAGGCACAAAGTAACAAGACTAATATTTGAGGAGCAACATAGAGCCATGCATCACTGTGGTCCACAGGCTCTCTTGGCCGCTGTCCGGCAACGTTATTGGCCACTACGAGGTAGAGTAATGGCACGATCGGTGACATCTCGCTGCGTCACCTGTATTCGCTCAAGGCCACAATTCGAGAACCCAGTAATGGCACCCCTGCCTAAGAATCGCGTGCAATTTTCAAGACCATTCACAATAACAGGTGTTGATTTCGCAGGACCCCTACTCATCCGAAGTGGCATACGTAGAATAACAGCAATAAAAACTTGGATAGYAGTATTTGTATGTTTTGCAACCAGAGCAATTCATCTAGAGGCGGTAGTTKGGCTCACAAGCGACGCATTCATGGCATCATTGCGACGCTTCATGTCCAGACGTGGGAAATGTAAGAAGATATATAGTGATAACGGAACAAACTTCGTAGGCGCACAAAAAGAGTTGTCCAACTACGTGAAGGACACTGAAGATCTCATGGCACGGGAAGGAGTAGAATGGCATTTCAATCCACCATCCGCCCCTCACTTCGGTGGTTTATGGGAAAGCGCCGTAAAGAGCGTAAAAACTCATTTAGTTCGTGTCGTCAAGAATACCCGGCTCAATCTCGAAGAGCTACAAACTCTACTATGCCAAGTCGAAGCGTGTGTCAATTCTCGGCCTATGACTTGAAGCGCTTGAAGCGTTGGAAATTTGTACAAGGCCTAATGCAGATGTTTTGGAGAAGATGGTATAGCGAGTATTTGCCGCAGCTTCAAGTCAGAGGACGGTGGTTGACCTCAAAAAGGCAAATCTCCATAAATGACGTGGTAATAATAAAAGAAGATTGTACTCAACCGACCAAATGGAAGTTGGGAAGAATAATCAAGGTACATCCCGGAGGCGATGGTACCATTCGTGTAGTGACCCTACGTACCACTACTGGAGCTGAAATGCAAAGACCTGTCGGTAAATTGTGTCGACTCCCACTAGAACAAGAAGTTGAAACTTTATAATTTTCAACGGGGGGAGGATGTCGCCGCCGTATCACTATATATCTCGTCACCGACCGACACACACACACACACACACTCACACGCACATTGCTGTTTTATGTATATTGTTTATTTTCGTTTTAATTGTTATGTGAATTATATAATAGTAAGATTACGCGTGAGGAAGCGCAATCAGCCGCGCCAAACCACAACGAAAAATAGCACAGCCGCCGCATTTTTATGTCTTCCCGTCCGTCCGCGTCGTTTGTATAATATTATAATAATTTTAGTCTCTTCTCCAGCTTTAACAAAACAACGCCTCTTACGTGCGCTAATCGGACAATTTTTATTGTTTAAATTGTATTTTGTGTGCGCTAATCGCCACTTATACTTCGAAATAGTGAGCGCGAATCGCCACTGTGTTTTTTATAAGTATATCGCATTGTCACGCGAATCGCCACMGTATCATATTACTATATTATATCGTGTGTACAAATCTCCATTGATTTATAGTGTTTTATTATATTTTGTGGGCACTAATTGTACCTAAGTCTGTTATTTTTTATTAATTATTGTTACTTATATATTGTGAGCGCTAATCGCTCGCCGCATCTATTGTTTTATATATATWTTGTATACTTGTCACAAATTGGCGTATCTATTTAATTTATTTTTCGTGTATTATATTTTTCAATTATTTCGTGTTTGTGTATGTGCAATTATTTATATAGGCTTTTAGGTAGCTGCAGCTGGCCAGCCGAGCACCAACAAATTGTGAGTAATTTTATATTATTKTCTCTATTTATTCATTAATTATTTTACTGAGCCAAAGGAGCTATAATATTTCATTTATATCATTATTATATTATATATCCGTAGTGCCAGAAAGGCCGTAGATTTGTATATTATTCTGTTGGGCCAGAAGGGCCATAGGTTATTATATCTTTTTATACCTTTTCAGTTGCTGTGATTTTTATATTATATTGTGGATTTTAAATTATTTGTATATTACAGCAACTTAGTTACCAAAAACCTGTGTTACCCTTTATTTTAGTTTAAAGTCTACACACCACACATACCTACACAACTACACACAACACCACACACTAGCACTCTTTAGTTTTGATCGGCGATCCCGTCCACTTCTATTGAGTCGCTATACAGACATATACACACATACACAGGTCGGTCGGTGTGTGAGAGTAGCGCGCGAAGTATTTGGTGACCGGGCGTCACGGCCTATTATTGTGTCGTTCCCGGCCGCGTATTACCAAACCCCTTAGTGCCCCAGCGCCATGTATAAATATCCCACGCTCATTGGTTCATTTGAAAACCGCGCGTAAATAATGTAATACTATTCATTATCAACTACCTATTATCAAAAATATATAATTTATCAAAAATATATAATTATATATTATTCCGTATGCTGTGCATATTATTTAGATGGTACCTATATACTATATTAATACTATATACTATACTATTTAACACTAAGTACCTCTTAATAAGTCACAATTATAGGTAGAATAATATAATATATATGTATTATAATATTATCAATACCTACCTAATATTTTATTATTAACAATTAAGTAGGTACTTAGATGGTAGTTACTCACCTAGGTATTAGCAATTTATTAATTCTTTAAAAATT